ATATATATTTTTTTAATTTATTTGATAAAATATGAATTAATAAATAAAAATTTTAAAATTATTCATATAATTAAAAATGTATTTTTTTTAAATACATATAAAATTTTTTATATATAAAAATAATTATTGACAAATCAGTTCATACCATTTTTGTGGGCTAGAGACGGGTCAAACTAGCATGTTTTTTTGACATCCTTACCTCCACTTAACGATGACCAGTAGTCAGTTTTCTCCCCTATCCCTTGTTAATGTTAGAAATTATATCTCATTCTCGTTTCTGTTAGATTTTAGCTTTCCTCGTCCCTGTTTCACTTTTTTTTTTAATTTATTTTTATAAAAAATAAATATTTATAATTTTATAATTTTTAATTATTATTATTAATTAAGTATACATTTTAATTTATTATATTTATATTAAAATATATATGTAAAAAAATATTCATTCATTTTTTATACGGATATATAATTATAATAATAATAATAATAATAATAATAATAATATTATTATTATTATTATTATTATTATTATATAGTATAACACTATATTTAAACATTTATATATATATATATAAATTAATCATTTTTTAAGTTATCAAATTTAAAAATATGAAATATATAATTTATGAGAAAATATTTAATAAATTAATTATTATTTAATTAGTTTAAAATGATAAAAAATTTAATTATCAATTATTTTTAATTCTTCAAAATATAATTATTTTATTAAAAAAATTAATATATAACAAATAAAAATAATAAAATCTAAAAAATATAATATAATAAAATCTAATAAAGGTAAATTAGAAATAAAATAATATTAATTTCTAATGTAGAATATTTAGAAAAAGATAAATAAGAAAAAAAATTAACTTTGTATTTGTCAAGAAATTGGAAAAATCAAATTGATAGTATAGATTAAAAAAAATGTCAAGAAGTCAACGTAAAAAAATATAATGAACTCATTTGATAAATTGAAAAATTAAAAAAGTGAAAAGTGGAATAAATAAAAAATGTGAAATATAGACTTAATTATTAAGACACTATTTTTTACTTAAAAAATAATAATCTAAAATTAAGATAATTGATATTTACAATACGTTTTTTTTTCATACTATATATTGCATCAAGAATTTATCACTAGATAAAAACTATAACTAATAAGTAGGAACATCAAACAATAAGCATAGAACATTCACTTAACTCACATAAGTTTTTAAGATGGAAAAATAATATGAATCACTAACCTTATAGTCGTATAAGGAGAAATATGAGAATGAGTACACATAATGCAAAATTTTAGTTATATTGGATAATAAAGAGAAGTGCTTATAAAACTTGGCATAGTAAGTTTATACAAAATGAAAGCCTACAATAACAAAAGTAACATGGAGTGTAAGGGTTTACTTAGAGAAAACCATATGTTCTCTACCCTAGAGGCTACTCTCACCTGTGTCAAATTCAAAGTCCTCATCTTCGTTTAATAAACTCCTACCTGTAATGTAAAAAAGACATGATGCATCAAAATGTAGTCTTTACCCAAATCATTCTAAATCATAATTATGTATCTAATTTAAATAATACAAACAAAAAGATACAAACATTCAAATAAATTCAAAAGTATATTAATTACATCATTTGCTGAAACAATATAAAGCAACTCATATGAATTATAATAAAAGATCACAGACAAGTTTAATTAAAAATACATAAAATGCCGATTATTATGGGTTGTTCAGTAATATTTTGGATCAAATTTAAGAAAAAAAACTAATAAAAATTTATATTGGTTTGATTTTTCATATTTTTTACTAAAGAAAAAACCAACATGATATTGTATCATTAGATAATATAATTTTTTTTATATATATCAATGATACTAAGTAAAAAAAATCAAAATTAATTACATTAACATTAAGTATGAATATATCATTTATGAAAATATTATAATATGAAGTATGATTACCTGTCGAAGAATCTTCATTTTTTAAAGGAGCGATCTTAGTCATTGTCACTATCAACTACGTACGAAGATCTTGTTTCCATGCTCAAACGTCTTGGGATGTATACATTATGATAGTAACTTATTAAGCATTTCAAAGATTTCGATGGAAAGTACTTCATGGCGAGCTTCCAAAAATTCTTACCATTTAACAATGGATTTGATTTTACTAGAGATTCAAATTCTTTATCATCTTCTAAAGTCCATGACCCTGGAACTTCTTCTCCAATCTCATCAAACTTCCATCTTGAAAATGTTGGACCGATCTCCAATTTCAAGAATTCTCTTGCTTCACTAATGTGCAGTTTAACACATTCAACTGATCCTGAATATTCACAGGAGCATGAATCAGGTCTACCATTCCCAATACCTTTTGAATTGTGTTCATTATTGTTAGACATGGGCCAAACTTGAACACCTAACCACTTCAAATCATCATCATTGTCTTGATATCTTGCATTTGTTGTGTCTTCCCACTTGGCAACTTCAGCTTGAAAACGAGGTCCAATGGGAATAACTGGAATTTCATTATCCTTAGGGAAGAAGTTGTTTTGTGACTGATTGAGTTTCATGTCTTCATTTTCCAAGCTTGAAGAATATGAAATCTCACTCGAATGGTCAAAATTTTCTTTAATTTTTGAAAATTTCTTTGTTGATTTAGTCATTTTATAATCTTTAAGATGGTTTTTGAGTCCTTTTGACCTTTCGAAAAAGCCACCAAAAATATCTAAGTGAGAACAGTATTGACTACCATTATTGCAAGATTGTGTTTTCTCTTCTACACATTTCTCTCTGGTAGCAATGTTATGACCACCGTCAAATTTTCTCTTCTGCAATAAGAAAAAGATAATTATAATTATCAAAGGATCTCAATTATTTTAGACCCTAAAAAAAGTCTTTTAAAATATAATTTCTATCAGAAATTGTTTTATGTACTCTCGAACATCATTTCTAAATATCCATCGTTGAATTATTTATTTATTTAAAATATATTAAAACATATTACGTATGTAATTTAAGTTTATAAAAAATAATTTATAAAATGAAAATTTATCTAAATTATATATATTGTAATTTAACGTTAACAATATCTAAACATTTTAAAATTATAAAATTAAATATATTATAAATAGTAATATATCATCCAAATCAAGTAATTACTCTAATTAAGATAAACTTTTGTACAATATTGTACAATTCACTTTTCCTATAGCTTCACTCGGGTGCTATCCAACCAATTTTAGACCTAATTTAAAATTATTTAATAGTTATGAACATTGTTTTAAATTGATTCAAAATATGAAATTAATGAATAAATCACTAGTCGATTTTTATTTAAATTGGTCTAACCAATCTTTCTAATTCAATTTTCAAAACAACTCTTTAGTGAAAAGATTGTATAAAAATAAAAATAAATACATTGGATAGATTGTTAGAAAATAAATATTAGACAATAAGTAGGTAGTGCAATAGAATTTGATAGACTACATACCACACATCTTGCATTAGGATTCAAAAGTGTCTCCCTCTTGTGCTTTTGATTCCCAAGTCTTCGATGGGATGACTCGACGCATGCTTCCAAAGCAAATTTTTTCAACCCAAACTCTTGTTTTTCATTTCTGGCATCTGAAGGCAAAACATTCGTGGCGTGACTATAAGAAAATGACACATCTTTATCAGTGTATTGCCGAAATAATAAAAATAAACATATTGAACAAATATGATGAGATAAAAATAGAATAAAACATGAACATAAAAACATTAAAAAAAATTGAGTATTCTAAATTCAAAATAAATTATAATGAGAGCATATATTTGAAAAAAATAATAAAAAAAAGTTTAAAAAATATGTTAAAAATCAGTATCACTTTTGCTAAAAATCAAGATGTCATTGTTATACAATTTTTTTTATACATGCATAAATTATGTCATTCATAAAAATAAAAACTATGTCATTGCTATAGAGATTCATAAAAACTATGTCACCGTTCTAAAGATTTACAAAAATGTTATCACTGATCTAGAGATATACATATAAGTTGTCATTGTTCTAAAAATTCAGAAAAAAAATTGTCATTAGAAAATTGCATAAATGATGCCGCTCATCTAAGCAATCCTAGGACGATATTACTCATCTAAGCAATTGCACAAATGATGTTGTTCTTCTAGTAAATCGCATAAATGATGTCATTCTTTGCAAGAATCGTACAAATGATGTCACTCTTCTAGAGAATCACATAACCAATTTAACTCTTTTCTAGAATTACATAAATGAGTCACTCTTCTCGAGTGCATAAACAATGTAGCTTTTCTCGAGAATTGCATAAATATCGTGCTCTTTTAGAGAAGAACAACATTGCTTTTTTTTTATAATCTTATAAAGAAGAGATAAGAGTATAGATGATATCTTTCACTCTTCAGGAGAAGAGCATAAACTATGTGCTCTTTTAAAGAAGAGCGACATTAGCTTTTTTTTGAAAATCCTAAAAAAAAAAAGAGAAGTGTTAATCCCATAAAGAAGAGAAAAGAGTTAATCCTATAAAGAAGAGATAAGAGTAAAAATGATGTCTATCACTCTTCCCAAGAATTACATAAACTATATGCTCTTCTAAAGAGGAATGACCTCACTTTTTTAGAATCTTAAAAATAAAAGAGAAGAGTATAGAGAATCGTATAAATGATGTCAGTCACTCTTCTCGAGAATTACATAAATGGCGTGCTCTTCTAAAGAAAAATAACCTCACTCGTCGTCACGCTTCCAAGAATCGCAGAAACGACGTCGTTTCTGTGATGATGCGCGTCATTTTTGCAATGCCTGGAAGCGCGACAACGTCGTTTCTGCGATTCCTGAAAGCGCGACGACGTCATTTCTGCACGACGCACGTTGTTTCTGCAGGACGCATGTTGTTTCTGCGCGACGCACGTCATTTCTGCACGACGCACGTCGTTTCTGTGCGATGCACGTGCATCATGAGAAACAACGTGCGTCATAAAAAACGACATGCATCGCCCAGAAACTACGTCGTCGCACTTCTAGGAATCCCAGAAACTACGTCGTCGCACTTCTAGGAATCCCAGAAACTACGTCGTCGCGCTTCTAGGAATCCCAGAAACTACGTCATCGCGCTTCTAGGAATCGCAGAAACGACGTCGTTGCGCTTCTAGGAATCGCAGAAACGACGCCGTCGCACTTCTAGGAATCGCAAAAACGTCGCTCATCGCGCTTCTAGGAATCGTAGAAACGACGTCGTCGTGCTTCTAGGAATCGGCGAAACGACGTCGTCGCGCTTCTAGGAATCGCCGAACGACGCCGTCGTCGCGCTTCCAGGAATCGCAAAACGACGTCGTCGCGCTTCCAGGAATCGCGTAAACGACGCGACATCGTCGCTTCCCGGAATCGCAGAAACGACGCGCGCATCGCGGCTTCCAGGAATCACGAAACGACGCGCGATCGCGCTTCCAGGAATCGCAGAACGACGCACATCGCGCTTCTTGGAATCGCGAGAACGACGCACGTCACGCTTCCGGAATCGCAGAAGCGACGCACGTCACGCTTCCAAGAATCGCGAAACGACGCACGTCACGCTTACAAGAATCGCGAAACGACGCACGTCACGCTTCCAAGAATCGCGAGAATGACGCACGCCACGCTTCTAGAATCGTAGAAACGAAGCGCCGTCGCGCTTCCAAGAATCGCAAAATGACGCTTCCAGGAATCGCGAGAACGACGCACGCCGCGCTTCCAGGAATCACATAAACGACGCGCGTCGCGCTTCCAGGAATCACAGAAACGACGCGCGTCGCGCTTCCAGGAATCGTAGAAACGACACGCATCGCGCTTCCAAGAATCGTAGAAACGACACGCATCGCGCTTCCAGGAATCGTAGAAACGACACGCATCGCGCTTCCAGGAATTGCAGAAACGACACATATTGCGCTTCCTGGAATCGCAGAAACGACGCACATTGTACTTCCTGGAATTGCAGAAATGACGCACATTGTGCTTCCTGGAATCGCAGAAACGACGCACATTGCGCTTCCTGGAATCGCAGAAACGACGCACATTGCGCTTCCTGGAATCGCAGAAACGACGCACATTGTACTTCCTGGAATCGCAGAAACGACGCACATCGCGTTTCCAAGAATCGCACAAACGACGCGCGTCACGCTACCAGGAATCGCAAAAACGACACATGTCGCGCTTCCAGGAATCGCATAAACGACGCACGTCGCACTTCCAGGAATCGCAGAAACGACGCACGTCGCACTTCCAGGAATCGCAGAAACGACGCGCATTGCGCTTCCAGAAATCGCAAAAACGACGCGCGTCGCGCTTCCAGGAATCGAAAAAACGACGTGCGTCGCACTTCCAGGAATCGCAAAAACGACGCGCGTCGCGTTTCCAAGAATCGCAAAAACGACACGCGTCGTGTTTTCAGGAATCGCATAAACGACACGCGTCGCGCTTCCAGAAATCACATAAACAACGCACGTCACGCTTCTAACAATCGTATAAACGACGCGCGTCGCGCTTAGGGAATCTCTGTCGCAGAAATGACGAGCGTCATGCTTCCAAAAAAATCACAAAAACGACATGCGTCGCAATTTCAGGTCATCACAAAAACGAGTTCCAAGGAACTGTAGGAATGACGTCGTCGCCACAAGAAAAAAAAAATCATGAAAACTTGTTCAAAAGAATCACAACTATTTCTTCAAAAGAATAAAAAAAAAAAATCAATAGTTCAGAATATCACAGACACAACATCGATATTCCTGAGAATTTAAATAATTTCTCATTTAAAAGTAGAACCATCATTTCAACAATGAAATCAATTTTTGAAAGTTACAAAACAAAAGAGAATATTGTAATATAAGAAGCGTCGATAAATAATCTCATTGTAAATCCAAAGCAAAAATCAAGTAAACTAAGTAATGTAACCTATCCAAAGCAAAAACCAAGTAAACTAAGTAATGTAACCTACTTGTTGGAGATGTCGAAGGGCAAAATCGAACTCAAATTTCCTCTCATTATCTCTTGAAGGTTTCAGCAGAAACTAAAAGACAGTGAAATCTTCGCAGTCTGATACGGGGAATGAAGCCGATATTGGAGATTTGGGAGAGGTAAGGATGGAGATTTTAGGATTGGATTGAAAGAAAACTGAATCACAATGGGCATGAGTGCCTCTTGCTCTCCCCGATATGATGCAGAATGATTATTGCCCAAAACATTAGAGAAGGCTATTTATAATAGGTATTAATAGTTAAAAATATTCAAAACTCAACCATATCTTGATAACAAAATAATTTTTATCAAATAATGTATCTTTTGAAAAATAATTAATGATAGAATCCTTGGTTAATAAACAAATCCTTAAAATAGGGAGAATCTTTTATATATTTTATATCCTAAATTATAATAATTATTTTTTATGACTAATTATAAAATAAATTATGAATAATAAAAATTAATATTATATTATTATTTAAATTATTTTAAATTGATAAAAAAATTGAAAATAAAAAAAACAGTGAAAAATATTTTTTTTTCACTTTTTCGAATATATTCATTTATAAATTTGAATTTTGGATTAAAAATTAAGAATAAAATCAAAGTATTTATTATATTTAAATATAATATTACGATGGTGTCTAAATAAATGATTTCATCGTACCTGATCAAACCATTCCGTTACTGTATAATATTCTCTTTTAGAGGTGATTTCAAAAGTTTTGCTTAAAATTAAGATTTATCATCATAAATCTCAAATAACAAGAACAAAAATATTTATTTGACATTATAAGAGAATTGAATCCTAGCTCAATAATTCTAAAATTTAGAATAAATTAACAATCCATTAAAAATAGGTTAGGATTAGGTTACAATTAGATTTTTCACTTGAATCATAATTAATCAAAGTTTTAAAGATTTTTTATAACAACAATTATATATTTAAAAATAATTATCGTTATATATATATATATATATATATATATATATATATATATATATATATATACTTGATAATCTTCTTCGGTCTCAATTGTCATGCCATGGTATTGTTCAACTCAAACACATAAGTCATTTGTTCATCTTTGTGATTATTATTATACCTTTCTTATCCAATCGTTAACAAAATGTTTGTAGTTTCTTAGTTCACTCATGTCTTATTCTCATGATTCTTCATCATATCATCATTGTTTAATGAATTTGTCATTTGAACTAATTATATATCTAGACATTATCCAAAATGAATATTGGTGCGAGACAATGTGATATGAGATAAATGTACTTGAATTGAACAAATCTTAGAACATTGTGGAGACATCCCATTTGATGCAAATGAGACTACAAAATTAAGCAAAATTCTGATGGAATTGTCAAGCAATACAAAACTTGATTGATTGCAAAAGGGTATATGGTCTAACAAAGGGGATTCATTATCTTGAAACTTGTTAACCTTTATGAAAATGTCAACCATAAGAATCATTCTTGATGTGCCTTCTATTAAGCTATGACACCTTCAAAAATTAGATGTGTGTTTCTTCATGGAGACTTGAACCAAGAGGTGTACTGGACCACGCTTCCTAGAATTGAAAATGTTCAACCTCCTCAATGTTGTAAACTATTAAAATCCTTATACGGATTTAAATAAGTAAATTGTTTGTGATATAAGAAATTATTAGTATTGCTCTTATCTTATGCTTCTCATATCATAATCTTCTTTTTTAATAAGAGAGACGAGAGCAATTTTACAACCTTAGTGATGTCTTTATGACATTTATTCACCGAAAATAGCATTGAAGAAATATCAAATATCAAATGAATTCTCTACTCAAACTTTCAAGTCAAAGATCTTAGGTTGTTAAAGTACTTCCTTGAGTTAAAGGGTACAAACCTACTCATACATATGTATCTCATTGTGATATGAATCACAAGGGACGATTTATGATTTTTAGGGTTAGAACTTTATAAGAAATTTAGGAATTTAGTGATAAGATGGAAGGAAAAAATCACTCTTCCCAAGGAAGACAACTCACAAAAGATGTGAAAGTCCTTTGATATAGACAAGAGTTTTTGAATTACTCAAGAACTTAGGAGAACCACTCTCACTAAAATAAAAGAGATAAACTCTAATATTTCTAAAAATAAAACTCAACTTGCTATTTCTGATAAAAATGGTTCAGCTTATAAAGAAACTTTGTCATAAGAGTTACAAAGATTCACTAAAGAAAAATAAATGCTAATAATGATTTATTAACCTAGGAATTGAAAACTACTTAATGATTGATTGTAACTCGAAATTGTGGCAACCAAAAGTCAATCAGCTATACACCATCTTGATCTCCCAAAGACTCGATAACTAAATTTTCAATTGGGCCCTTATTACAACTTGGCAATAAAACCAAACTAAAGTCCATTAATTGATTAATCCAAAACACAATTTGGTCAACCAACAATACTTGTTGAAGAGTTTCATTTGCTTCCCTTACTCTAACCCTTATCATAGATCATGTTCACATCATTTAATGGCTAGAGCATGACTAAAATAAATTCTCTACTCAAACTTTCGAGTCAAAGATCTTGGGTTGTTAAAGTACTTCCTTGAGTTAAAGGGTACAACCCTACACATACATAGGTATCTCATTGTGAAAAAATATTATCTTGAATTATTACATGATTCTTGTTTATTAGGTTTAAAAATGACATATACACTTATGAATAGTTCATTTCGTCTTTGTTAAAATTATGCAGAAGAGTCGTAGACCCCAAATCTTGCTCGACCTCAAAATAAAGAGCAGAAGACTTTCGTTCGAAGATGGACAATGCCTAAAAGGTCCCTAGAATTGATTAATAGGCCCCATATAAGAATAATAAAGATTTTTGTACACGAAAAATAAGAAATTCCACTTAAAGGGTCGAGATCACCGTCTCGTTTAGCGAGACCGTTGTCTCGCCGTTGGCTAAGGGCGAGACGTCTCGTTTGGCGATATTGCCGTCTCGCCACTCACTAATGGCGAGACCGCCGTCTCATTTGGTGAGACCGCCATCTCATTTGGCGAGACGACGGTCCCGACCTTGTCATGCAAGACGACGATCCCGACCTATAAAAGGGAGGGACTTTCTCACTCTTTACACACCATTCTACCACTTTTCCTTTCGTACTTCTCTCAAATTACTCTCCTAGGACCCCTCTGAAGCATTTCCAGAGTTTCTTAATATTTTTAGAAAGCATTCTATAGTGTTGTGAGGAAGAGCGATCATCATTGTAAAGCGTGGGGATTGTCAAAAAGCCCCATTTTTCAAAGAATTTACTATAAAAGCTTGCTTCGAAGGTTCCTATATACTCCCTTCTCTACTTTACTGCTTTTTAGATAGTATTGTTGTGCATTAATCATTTAGGGTCATGTAGTCAATAATTTAATTTTTCGCAATAAATAAATAAGGATAAAAACGCAATTTATAATTATTATATCTTTATAAAAATGGTCCATCATAGGGAACCCGAAAGTGGCGTTGTAGGGAAGCTAATACATTTCCTATACGTAACTAAATCCCTTACTTAACGCTGATTGTAATGACCAAATTGGTTTTTCTTAAAAAAACCACTGTCTTCTTTTTTTCCTTTTCCAATGTTTCTGGTAAAAACATTGGTGGCGACTCCTTGAACCTTTCGAAAATCTCACCTTTAGGTCTATCCCGATTATCGAACAACCTAAAGACGTTGAACCATTTTTTAAAAAATGCGAGTCGAACAAAACCATCGTGTCAGCTCCGACCGCCTCTTTTGACTGGCGGAGACAAGAGCTTTTGAACACCCTTCCTTATAAATGTTTATTAGGTCGTTTGAGTTATCTTATTAATACATGTTCAAACATAGTTTATACTACTAAACAACTAAGTTAGTTTATGTTATTACCCACTCAAGCCCATTTCATGATTTCATGATTGCTAGTAGAATGCTTAGATATGTAAAGAGTTGTCTTAGTAAAGATTCTATTTTTTAGCAAGAAATTGACAATTCAAATCCAAGGGTTTAGTCTTGCGTACTGGGGTACCCGTGCATATTCTCGTACATCAATTATAGGATATTATTTTTTTATAGGAAAGTTTTTGGTTTCTTGGAAGATTAAGAAACTAGATGTTGTTTCAAGATCATGATCAAATATAAAGTATAAAACACTTATTTCTATCATATATTAGTTGTAATGAATTATTTGTTCTACGACCTTCAAGTTCCTTACAACAATCAATATTATTTTGTGATAATTAAAGTACATTGATATTGTTGATCTCATGCGAACTAAACATCTAATACGGATTATCATATTATTAGAAAGAAATTGCAACATAATCTAATACATATTCTTCCTATGTCTTCCTCTAATATTTTCATTAACGTCTTGTCTTGAACATTATTCACTAATACAAAATAAGCTTACTTATTTTTAGTCAAACTAATAAGTATTTAACTTAAAAAAAATTGGTGAAATTTTTTAAATTAAGATAAACTTTTTTTAATATAATATTCAAAATA